TACCTTATTATTTACCTTATTATTTCCTTATTATTTACCTTATTGTTTACTTATTGTTTACCTTATTATTTACCTTATTGTTTACCTCATTATTTACCTTATTATTTCCTTATCATTTACCTTATTATTTACCTTATTATTTACCTTATTATTTCCTTATTATTTACCTTATTGTTTAACTAATTATTTAACTTATTATTTCCTTATTATTTACCTTATTGTTTACCTTATTGTTTACCATTTACCTTATTGTTTACCTTATTATTTACCTTATTGTTTACCTTATTATTTAACTTATTATTTACCTTATTATTTACCGTATTGTTTAACTAATTTTTTAACTTATTGTTAAACTGATTATTTCACTTATTGTAAATGGTGGGTCACAGCCGTTTGGGGCCATATGGGCAAGGTCCAATAGGGAAAATCTATCAATTTCTTAAAAACCTATCTTGTACTTTAGAAATATTAGCATATTGTCCAAATTTGATCTGATGCATGATTGGAAGAAGCAAAATCAATTTTGTATAAATAGTGGGTCTTGGTCCCCTGGAGCCATAAGGACGGGGCCCAATAGGAAAAATCTATCAATTACTCCAGGAATTGCAGGATATTGTCCAGAATTTGTCTGAAGCATTCTTTGGTGAATAAAAATCAGTTTTGTATAAACGGTAAGACTGGGTCCCCTGTGGGACCCAATATGGGAAATAGATACAAATCTGGAAGTGGGACTCAACATGGGAAATAAATACAAATCTGGGAATGGGACTCAATACCGGAAATAAATACAAATCTGGTAGTGGGACTCAATATGGGAAATAAATACAAATCTTGGAGTGGGACCAAATATGGGAAATAGAAATAAATCTTGTAAATGCTTTTCATTCCATGTGATGAAGGTCTACACTAGGTGAGCAATACAGGTCTTGAAAAACTCTTTTTTTTTTTTTTTTTCAATATGAACTCTCATCCTTTGATCAAATCTCCATATAAATTCCATAAAATCAATCTGAAATGGCTTAAAAATAAATTAAAATCTTTATTTTATAATAAATATTTTAATGTATTAATTTACCAATCAAATGAAATCAGCAATGTTACGGAAACAGGTGGTATTTTAATGAATATTATTAAAAATCTTTTCATTGATTTTGATATAAATTCAGACTTTAAATTGAAAATCATATTCATGCGGTCATACATCTGTATATTTTTCATACCCCACTTCTGTAACAAATCAAAGGATCTCTTCTCTCTTTCAGTAAAGAATTATCTTAATTGTCCTGAAGTTGTCAAAAGGGTACTCCCCCGTAAAGAATGCACTTATCTTCAAATTATGAAAGGTATTCCCTCTGCAGAAGACCTTGCCCTTAAGTTATCAAAGAATCCTTCCTCTGCAGAAGACCTTGCCCTCAAGTTATCAAAGAGTCCTCCCTCTGCAGAAGACCTTGCCCTCAAGTTATCAAAGAGTCCTCCCTCTGCAGAAGCCTTGTCCTCAAGTTATCAAAGGGTCTTCCCTCTGCAGAAGACCTTGTCCTCAAGTTATTAAAAGGTCTTCCCTCTGCAGAAGACCTTGCCCTCAAGTTATTAAAGGGTCTTCACTCTGCAGAAGACCTTGCCCTTAAGTTATCAAAGGGTATCCCCTCTCCAGAAAAACTTACCTTTAAGGCTCCAAAGAGTAAGATATGTTATATGCTTCTTTAGCAAAGATGATTGTGTTTCTTTGTCAATGTTTCCTGAGTGTCTAGATGGCTAGTGCTACCAAAGTGTGACAGTAGAAACAAAAAAGTTTCAATGCCTCAACAACGGATCAAAAAGGGATCAAATCCTGGTGGAGACAAACTTTCCCCATCAAAAGTCAGTAGGAAGTAAGACTTATACCTACAGGACATTATTATCACTACTGTGGGCAGGTTTTTAAAGAACTTTTACCCCTGTTGATTTTTTTTATTCTTCATTTTTATTAACAGAACATTAATGAAAGACTTTGATTAAACTCACACTACTGCCAACAAGTAATACACATATATTTTAACCAGTACACAAATTGTGATAGAATTAATTTAGTAATAAACTGTGTGTCATATTTTCTACCGTTTATTAACATTCATATGAAGAAACATGAACCTGTTTCCTACTACTGATAAGTGGATATATGTGACATTAACATTGACTCCAGGCCATGTGCCTAGATATACACACATTTATACATACATTACATTGTACAGACCAACACAATTCTGTTTATTTCCTCCATGATAACACAGGTTTGTACAGGTGAGTGAAGAAAGCAAAACCCAAATTTATTGTCATGGTGTCTGCTTGCAGTATATATATGTTTCATTATGATTATGGTGAAATTTAATGTTTCACAATGTATTGTATTGTTAAGTATGGTTATTCATTTAATTACTAGAATTGATAAGCAAGGTATAGATGCTGACTGTGATAATAATCAAATCTTATATATTTACATAAGGTATAAACAATATAAAATTTATACTCTGATGTGGTATAGATCTTAAGTACGGTAGTGGAATAATTTTTTCCCCATTCTTCATTTGTCGAGAGCAATTTCAAAATGAGGAATATACTGTCCATTTCTACATCATTTGATGGTATGTATCTAGGATTTGTTCATTGAATTTCAATATCTAGGTTTCATTGTTTCCAAAAGTTTCTTAGAGGGCCCCCTGGCTAGTTCTAATCATGTTATTTATTTGGAAATAATTTTGTGTAATCTGCAACCTTAGATATTTTTGACAATATTAAATTATTAAACATATGACCACTAATCCTTATCATGTTGGAAACATTCTGTGTATGACAAGATCTGAGGTTTGAAGTTGTTTCCATGCTCTTCTCTGCAGATTCCTGGTGACATCTAGCTTGGTAAGAGTTCCTGATACTGGTCTCACATACTCATCTGAAAGGCTAAGTGAGCTTATGCTGTGATACGACATCCGTTGTCCAGCGTCCACTTTTGCCATGAAAATGGCTTTTTCTCAATAACCAATAGACCAAATGTTATGGTTACTGGCGGGTTGGTTGCTTGAATGATTTAGCCTGACATAGTTGTGAAAAGAAATGACCTTGACCTTAATTCAAGATACCAGGGGTTAAATTTGTTAAAACCTTTAAATAACTTCTTTCGACTAACCAAAAAGTGCAGAAGCATAAAAGCATATATGGATACCACAGTGTGTGGCATCTGACATATGTCCTAGAAATCTAATTGCAACATGAGCGACAGAGTTCATTTTAACCATACATGGTCTGCAACATCCTTTTAGAAGCTTATTGGAACCAAATGTTGTGTAAAGGGTGGGTCTGGAACCCATGGATCCACAAGGGCAGTGCAGGGTGGGTCGGGACCCATGGAACCACAAGGGCAGTGCAGGTCGGGTTTGGGCCCCATGGAGCCACAAGGACAGTGCAAGAAGGGTCTCGGCCCCATGGAACCACAAAGTCCTATGTCATCTGACTGCTTATGTCAGTGCTATGTCATCTGACTGCTCATGACAGTCCTATGTCATCTGACTGCTTATGTCAGTGCTATGTCATCTGACTGTTCATGTCAATGATATGTCATCTGACTGCTCATGTCAGTGATATGTCATCTGACTCCTCATGTTAGTCCTATGTCATCTGACTGCTTATGTCAGTCCTATGTCATCTGACTGCTTATGTCAGTCATATTTCATCTCCTATGTCATCTGATCTGACTGCTTATGTCAGTGCTATGTCATCTGACTGTTCATGTCAGTGATATGTCATCTGACTGCTCATGTCAGTGATATGTCATCTGACTCCTCATGTTAGTCCTATGTCATCTGACTGCTTATGTCAGTCCTATGTCATCTGACTGCTTATGTCAGTCATATTTCATCTGACTGCTCATGTCATTCATATGTCATCTGACTGCTTATGTCAGTGCTATGTCATCTGACTGTTCATGTCAGTGATATGTCATCTGACTGCTCATGTCAGTGATATGTCATCTGACTGTTAGTCATGTCATCACTGCTTATGAGTCCTATGTCATCTGACTTATGTCAGTGATATGTCATCTGACTGTTTATGTCATTCATATGTCATCTGACTGCTTATGTCAGTCCTATGTCATCTGACTGCTTATGTCATTCATATGTCATCTGACTGCTCATGTCATTCATATGTCATCTGACTGCTCATGACAGTCCTATCTCATCTGACTAGTCATGACAGTCCTATCTCATCTGACTAATCATGACAGTCCTATCTCATCTGACTAGTCATGACAGTCCTATCTCATCTGACTAGTCATGACAGTCCTATGTCATCTTACTGTTCATGTCAGTCCTATGTCATCTGACTGCTCATGTCAGTCCTATGTCATCTGACTGCTCATGTCAGTCTTATGTCATCTGACTAGTCATGACAGAGCTGTTCCAACTGGCTGTGCTGATTACTTCTATTCATTTCAGGCTAAAAATGGTCCTCTACATGTCTGGATTTGTATTGTATGCTTCACTTTTAAGAACACATCACAATTAAAACCAGTTCTGAAGACCACTTTTGAACTGAATTTTGTCTGATTTTAATCAGACCATCCACAGACTAGTTACAAAGTCACCTAGTGTATGCAACATACATATACATGGGTCATTTTTATATCTTAGTGAGCTCCTGTGTACATCAAACTATCTAACTTCTCATGATACAGATTGCATTTGGTATGGGATATGAATAAAAATGTGATAATGCATTTTCCACTAAGTTCATGGGAACATTCCAAAAATTTTTATCTTTTATTAAATGTCTTTAAAATGTTATAGATGAAATGAAATGAAGACATGAATTGTGGAATTTAATCTATTTCCTTATGAATGTTTGTATGTTTAAACTTGTTTACAGTTCGTGTTTTATTGTATGAGGATGTCGCCAGTAGGTAGTTAAGAAATAAAGAAGGATATTGTTTGTTTTTTTCTCTCTGATTTTCCTGGTATGTTTATTTTTAGAATTCGGTGAAGTTAACAAGGAAGTAATTTGCTCCATGATGTCATAAAAGAGTACGTGAAGAATCAACTGTGTTATATCTTCTGTCATCAGTTACCTGTCAGCACATACATTTGTATAGTAAAGGATACAGCATATTCTCACCAACGTTGTCACCTTGAGATATTTCCCTTAATTTTGAATCAAACATAGTTGAAGATGGAACCAGCGGCAAAAAGGCGACGAAAGAATTGGAACATTCCTGTTTCCACAATAGCCAAGAACACATTTAATCCCATCAGGAGTATTGTGGATTCCATGAAGATCACTCCAAATCCTGAGAAGGATATGATTGCACTGTCTATAGGTATGTTATCAACTTGTTCATTAAACTGAAATCCTTTGTACTTCTTTGACAATAATCATAGCTTACCATAGTTTTGGTACCACCTTCATAAGTAGATAGTTCTCAACAAGGAGAAGTGCAGTGCAGAAGAACCATCACTCTTTTTTACATCATTTAGGAGTTATTGCCTTTTGTTAGGTCACCTGAACCAAAAGCATTTAGAGCAAGGTCTACAAAGTTTGCGAATTAGAAAAAAATTGGGTCATAAACAGGCCCTCCAGGGGGCACTAAAAAGGGGTCAAGATTTAAAGTTGACTGATTTCCACCAAATTTAGTATATAGGGTCCCCTAGTGAAGAACATGTGACTTTGAGTTGAAAAAAAAAGTGTCTGAGGGATTCTGGGGCCTCATGGGGGGCAAAAAGGGGTCAATTAGATTTTTTTTTAATATGGGTTCTAATGGCATTGACCATGTTTTTGGGTTACAACCACACTAAACACAAAGCATCTATGTAATAAGACACATTTAGTTTTGGGGGAAAAAAAGTAATGGCTGCAATAGGGGCCCCAGGTGGGGGTAAAAAAGGAGTAACATTAGGTATAGTAAGCTTCTTTAAGTTTACAATAGAAAAAGATGTGGCCTCAATGGGGGCATATTTAAGGGGCAGAAAGGGGTAGAATTTGTTAAATCTTAGCAAATCTTGTTGTCCTGAACCAAAAGTGTAACTTCATATAGATGATCTTTAGGGAAAGGACTGCAAAGTTTGTGAGAATAAAAATAACTGGTCCAAAATTAGCCCTTCTGATATTTGTTACATATTAATCTTTAATAATGACATGTTGTGTATTTATGACAACCATATAGGCGAGAAAAAATGTGTAGCCAGATCTTTCATCAAACCTTCTATGTTCTGAGCTACATGTATAATATGGTTCAATACCTGTGGTAACACTACATTTCTCAGCCTTGATACATATAGATTCCTGTCTCAGAAGTACCACAAGATTTTTTCACATTGTTTTATGTGAGTGTTTTTTAGTTTGATGCCTTATTGTATTAGGCAAGGAAAAGATTGTGGATAGACTTGAAATTGATGTGATTTTTTGTATACTTTAGCTATACATGTATCTACTAAGCTATATTTCAACTTGTAAATGAAAACATGATTTACTTTATATAAATGTGCAACCCTGGCCTCTGTTTGGTTAAGACATTTTGGACTTCCTCTCAAGAACCACTAGGTGGATCATGTTCAAACTTGGTACAGATGTTTTACACACGGTCCTGCACAAGTGTTGTTCCATTTTTGCAACATTTTAAAATCCTCAGATTATTGACATATATTCCTCAGGTGAGCGTTTAGACCCCTTGGGCCTCTTGTTATTTTTCCTACTTATATTTTGTCTGGAGCATTACACTAAAACTATTAGAGGTATCAACATTAAACTTCATAGGTAGATATATCTCAACAAGGAAAAATGTAGTGCTCAAGAATCATCACTCTCTTTTGCATAATCTGGGAGTTATTGCCCTTTGCTTTTTTCATAGTTAAATTATGTCCCATTCAAGGAGCATAACCCATCTCTGACAGCCCTTGTCATTTTGCTGTTAGTACAGACTTATAGTTAATCTTCCAAGACAAATATGTATGTCATGTCTTTAGAAAATGTATTATGAATCTTTAAGGATAAAAAGAGTCATGTCTGATACAAAACTTATTTTCTGAGAAAACTGAAATTTGATAGGGACATCAGAAAAATCTATAAGAGAAATGCCATGGCCACAGTACCAAGAGAAAATTTCTAAGAGAATGACTGTATATATTACAGGTGATCCTACTGTGTTTGGTAACTTACCACTAGATAAAAATATAGAAGATGCTGTCATCAAATCCGTGAAAGCTGGCAAATACAATGGTTATAACCCTTCTGTAGGTAAGTACTGTATACAGTGGTTATAACCCCTCTGTAGGTAAGTACCGTATATAATGGTTTGAACCCCTCTGTAGGTAATTACGGTATACAGTGGTTGTAACCCCTCTGTAGGTAAGTACTGTAAACAGTGGTTGTAACCCCTCTGTAGGTAAGTACGGTATACAGTGGTTATAACCCCTCTGTAGGTATGTACCGTATACAGTGGTTATAACCCCTCTGTAGGTAAGTACCGTATACAGTGGTTATAACCCTTCTGTAGGTACCGTATACAGTGGTTATAACCCCTCTGTAGGTAAGTACCGTATACAGTGGTTATAACCGCTCTGTAGGTAAGTACCGTATACAGTGGTTATAACCCCTCTGTAGGTTAGTACCGTATACAGTGGTTATAACCCCTCTGTAGGTAAGTACCGTATACAGTGGTTATAACCCCTCTGTAGGTAAGTACCGTATACAGCGGTTATAACCGCTCTGTAGGTAAGTACCGTATACAGTGGTTATAACCCCTCTGTAGGTAAGTACCATATACAGTGGTTATAACCCCTCTGTAGGTAAGTACCGTATACAGTGGTTATAACCGCTCTGTAGGTAAGTACCGTATACAGTGGTTATAACATCTGTAGGTAAGTACCGTATACAGTGGTTATAACCGCTCTGTAGGTAAGTACCGTATACAGTGGTTATAACCCCTCTGTAGGTAAGTACCGTATACAGTGGTTATAACCCCTCTGTAGGTAAGTACCGTATACAGCGGTTATAACCGCTCTGTAGGCAAGTACCGTATACAGTGGTTATAACCGCTCTGTAGGTAAGTACCGTATACAGTGGTTATAACCCCTCTGTAGGTAAGTACCGTATACAGTGGTTATAACCGCTCTGTAGGTAAGTACCGTATACAGTGGTTATAACATCTGTAGGTAAGTACGGTATACAGTGGTTATAACCCCTCTGTAGGTATGTACGGTATACAGTGGTTATAACCGCTCTGTAGGTAAGTACCATATACAGTGGTTATAACATCTGTAGGTAAGTACTGCATACAATGGTTATAACCCCTCTGTAGGTAAGCACTGACTGTATACTGTGTCAGAATATGTTATGATGGATTGAGGTTCAAGTGCTTGACTAGCAATATATGTTGGAGTATGTTATGATGGGTGTATGTTTATGGATGTGACTAGCATTGTGTTAGAATAAGTTATGATGAAAGTGTAGATGATTTTATTTTAAAGGTTCTGATGGTTCTCTGTTTCATTGACTGTAGGGTATGAAGATTCCAGAGCTGCTGTAGCTGAATACTCCAGTACTGATGAAGTCTTAGTAACCTCCAAGGTACTTTATGTACTCATATAATTATCAAAGTAGTAGATCCAGGAGTTTGGAAAAGGGAGGCCCAAATCATTTCATGGAGAGAGAAAAAATCCCAAAAGTGTGGGGATGTCCCTTCCTCCTTTCTTACATTGACTGAATTGTTCAATGTCTCATTAAATCAGTAACTGAGAAATGCTGGCACTAACCCATACATATATTGTGTTATTTTGTATGACATTGACTCATACATATTGTGTGTTATAATGTATGAAACTAATTCATACAGATGTTTTATTTTGAATGATGCTGACTCTTACTTAGAGTGTTATTTTGTATAACACTAATTAAATGAATATGTTATTTTGTAGACACTGTTTAACTATTAGTTGTATAGTCCAAAAGAATGTGAATTTAACAATTAGTTGTATATTTCAACAGGATGTGAATTTAACATTTAGTTGTATATTTCAACAGGATGTGATTTTAACAAATGGTTGTTCCTCGGCTCTGGAGATGTGTATAACTGTACTGGCCAACGCTGGCGATAACATACTTCTGCCTCGCCCAGGCTTCTCTATCTATAAGACTTTGGCAGAGGCTATTGGTATTGAAGTGCGCTTGTACAACCTTCAGGTAGGCATGAAAAAGTATTGCTACTATTGGTCAATCAATACTTACTTGAACTGAAGTAAAACGGAAAAAGTCAAACGGTCAGTTTTATCTTAAAGTCAGTGTTATCTTAAAGTCAGTTCTGTAAATATTCAAACTTAAGTAAAAGGTAAAAATCATACAAGTTTCCTGAAAGTCCTCAATCTATAATGCTTTTTAATTCTTTACATGCCTGGTTTATTGAAGAAGAATATAGTGACTCGGCAAAAATGATGTAAAACCCTTAGTCACTTACATCAACTAGAATGTACATTGTACCTGTATGTACTTGTACCAAATAGATATCATAATCAATAATAACATTCATCCTCAGCCTGAAAAATCTTGGGAGATAGATCTTGACCATCTTCGATCCCTAGTCGATGGTAATACTGCAGCGATCCTGGTAAACAGTCCCTCCAACCCGTGTGGCTCAGTGTACAGTAGGAAACACATCCTGGAAATTCTCGCTGTTGCTGAGAAATGTCATCTCCCAATTATCTCTGATGAAATCTATGAACATTTTGTAAGTATTTATTTGTAGACCTATCTTTTTAGCGGAGCATCTATTGGTCTGTTCTCAGTTTCAGAAATCTCAATGAGAAGACTTCTATCTCCAGTCTTTTAAGTGTTCGGCTCAGGTGTCTGTGGTGCCAGAGAGTTACACTGTTTTAGTTGTTTATGTTACATCACAAAGATTATTCTAAGACATAATTTACAATTCTCATCCCAAAGCTCAAATAACATAAAACATCTTTGGTTTTTTTTATTTCATTATATAATATCTCTAGTGCATTCCTATTTTCTCAGATACATAGATTTGGTTTGATCTACAGGTGTTTTCCACCAGCACATACCATTCCCTGGGATCCCTGTCGAAGAATGTTCCCATTCTGTCCTGTAGTGGCCTCACCAAAAGGTACAAAATCATGCTGTTTATTTGATGTTCTAGGACTTGTAGGAATCAGATAGAGGATGTAAAAATAGTCATTTTTCCTAAATTTAATATTTGTTCTTTAAGAATAGAATAAAAATTGTTTAAAAATTGATTTTTATTTTATTTCAAAGAATTAAATTGTAAATTGTCCAGTATAAAGTACACTTTCTCATTTCAGATTCTTGGTACCAGGCTGGAGACTTGGATGGATTATCATCCATGACAGAAATGATTTATTTAAAGCTGTAAGTACCTTAATGACAAGGGGGAAAACTTTTTATTTTTGTTAATATTAAGGTATAACATTACTTGTGATGTGCCCCAAATCCTTGATGTCTCTACATCTCTCTACTTGGATCATGGACTGAAATATTTGGTTAAATGAACCAGAGTCAAAATATCCATTAATATTGAAAAGAACCCTGCGAGGGTAAAGTAAAATCTTTATTGATGTCATAATTAATTTTCTGTAATTGAATCTTTATACTTTAACTTAGTAATATTTTGTCACACATATTAAAGCAAAACATATGTTAGGGATATGGGACTTCAGGATGGGGCATGTGCCTTAACTTAGCAATGGTGAAAAGAAGTTTGAACTATTTAAGTTCTCATAGACATTTTAATCAAATCTTTTTGTGATATTATGTAATTTTTTGTACTCAGGTGAGAAAAGGATTGTTGAGTTTGTCCCAGAGAATTCTTGGTCCCAACTCTCTGGTACAAGCTGCAGTAACAGACATCTTGACCAAGACACCACAGGAGTTCTTTGACAACACTGTAGGATATGTGGAGAGTAATGCCGAATTGTTTTACAACAAGGTCTCTAAAATTCCTGGCCTGGAACCTGTCAAACCTGATGGTGCTATGTATATGATGGTAAGTGTTTGGTAAGTGATAAAAGGTTTGGTTTTTCTCTGTTGGCTGTTATTGTTCTGGCACATGCGTTGGGGGCCAAAACATAACCTCTATAACAGTGCTGGATGGACCATGACACAATGATAGTAACATTTACTGGTACTTCAATAGATGACGATGATGGAGTACAAGATTGATATAACACTTGAATTTTTATTTGGGACCCCAGTAACATCTGTGTCATGATTTTTAAACAGATTGGTATTAACAAGGACAACTTCCCCGGTGTGACAAATGACATTGACTTCACAGAGAAAATGGTGAAAGAGCAGAGTGTCTTTTGCTTACCTGGACAGGTGAGAATATGTAACAATACAGCTAATGTTCTTAGTGCTTATCTTAAACGTTTGTCCTTCTTTTAATGAAATTTGTAAAACATAAAACTTATATGACATCAAGTTACAGTTGGTGATGTCTTTTATAGAATCATGTATGTTTAAAATTGTTAAGTATTCTTGTGATTTCTTAATCAGTACCGTAGAATAAAACAAGAAATGGAAATGCTTCCTACAATATATCTCACAGTATTTCCTAAATAAACATGACCAGTTAATCATCTGTGGGATCACAGTGACCTGCCATTCAAACACCCTATCAGGGGTCACAGTGACCTGCCATATGGACACCCTATCAGGGGTCACAGTGACCTGCCATATGGACACCCTATCAGGGGTCACATTGACCTGCCATTCAAACACCCTTTCAGTGGTCACAGTGACCTGCCATTTGAACACCCCATCAGTGGTCACAGTGACCTGCCATTTGAACACCCCATCAGGGGTCACAGTGACCTGCCATTCAAACATCCTATCAGGGGTCACAGTGACCTGCCATTCAAACACCCTATCAGTGGTCACATTGACCTGCCATTCAGACACCCTATCAGTGGTCACAGTGACCTGCCATTCAAACACCCTATCAGGGGTCACAGTGACCTGCCATTCAAACACCCTATCAGGGGTCACAGTGACCTGCCATTCGGACACCCTATCAGGGGTCACAGTGACCTGCCATTCGGACACCCTATCAGGGGTCACAGTGACCTGCCATTCAGACACCCTATCAGGGGTCACAGTGACCTGCCATTCGAACACCCTATCAGGGGTCACAGTGACCTGCCATTCGAACACCCTATCAGGGGTCACAGTGACCTGCCATTCGGAAACACTATCAGGGGTCACAGTGACCTGCCATATGGACACCCTATCAGGGGTCACAGTGACCTGTCATTCGAACACCCTATCAGTGGTCACAGTGACCTGCCATTTGAACACCCCATCAGTGGTCACAGTGACCTGCCATTTGAACACCCCATCAGGGGTCACAGTGACCTGCCATTCAAACATCCTATCAGGGGTCACAGTGACCTGCCATTCGGACACCCTATCAGGGGTCACAGTGACCTGCCATTCGAACACCCTATCAGTGGTCACATTGACCTGCCATTCACACACCCTATCAGTGGTCACAGTGACCTGCCATTTTAACACCCCATCAGGGGTCACAGTGACCTGCCATTCAAACACCCTATCAGGGGTCACAGTGACCTGCCATTCAGACACCCTATCAGTGGTCACAGTGACCTGCCATTCAAACACCCTATCAGGGGTCACAGTGACATGCCATTCAAACACCCCATCAGGGGTCACAGTGACCTGCCATTCAAACACCCTCTCAGGGGTCACAGTGACCTGCCATTCAAACACTCTCTCAGAGGTCACAGTGACCTGCCATTCGAACACCCTATCAGTGGTCACAGTGAACTGCCATTCGGACACCCTATCAGTGGTCACATTGACCTGCCATTCAAACACCCTATCAGTGGTCACAGTGACCTGCCATTTTAACACCCCATCAGGGGTCACAGTGACCTGCCATTCAAACACCCTATCAGGGGTCACAGTGACCTGCCATTCAAACACCCCATCAGGGGTCACAGTGACCTGCCATTCAAACACCCTCTCAGGGGTCACAGTGACCTGCCATTCAAACACTCTCTCAGAGGTCACAGTGACCTGCCATTCGAACACCCTATCAGTGGTCACAGTGAACTGCCATTCGGACACCCTATCAGGGGTCACAGTGACCTGCCATTCAGACACCCTATCAGGGGTCACAGTGATCTGCCATTCAGACACTCTTTCAGGGGTCACAGTGACCTGCCATTCAAACACCCTATCAGGGGTCACAGTGACCTGCCATTCAAACATCCTATCAGGGGTCACAGTGACCTGCCATTCGGACACCCTATCAGTGGTCACAGTGACCTGCCATTCAAACACCCCATCAAGGGTCACAGTGACCTGCCATTCAAACACCCTATCAGGGGTCACAGTGACCTGCCATTCGGACACCCTATCAGGGGTCACAGTGACCTGCCATTCAAACACCCCATCAAGGGTCACAGTGACCTGCCATTCAAACACCTTATCAGGGGTCACAGTGACCTGCCATTCAAACACCCCATCAAGGGTCACAGTGATCTGCCATTCAAACACCCTATCAGTGACCTGTATGTTAATAAGTAAGCTACTTAATTTGAGACACTTACTCAAAAGTGTTAATTAATCAAGTATTGATATGAACAACTTGACAGTGAGTACTTGTTCTGTCTTTAAACTGTTTAAATTACAACCATAACTATGTTTTTATTGGATTAGCAAAAGGTTCTTTCATGTTTGTTTTAATCATACTAGTTGACCTTTGTGTTTCTATCAAAACAGATTTTGAGTTGGGATATTTCTATCCTCTGTTATTTTAACTCTGAGGTAGGCTGTTATATCTTACCTAACATATGATTGCTTTGTTACATAATAATTGGAGATTTGTCTTTACAAAGTATTCCTTCTGTATACTTACAGTGCTTCCAGTACCCTAACTTCTTCCGAGTGGTTCTCACTATACCGACAGAAAAGCTGGAGGAAGCTTGTCAGAGAATAACAGCATTCTGTAAGGACCATTACAAACCTGCTGGCAAGTCCAGGGGGAGATCAAAAAGATAAATCAGTTGTGTTTGTTCAAAATTGATTCAACAGATAACTAATATGAGACTTACTGTAGTGAAAACTAGTCACATGTTTGTCTCATCTTGTCGGTCAACTATCTGTCTGAGGGAGGACGAGGGTAACCAGGATGTGGACAAGAAATCTTGTACTTTATGGACGGCATTGTGTAAGATATAGAAATGTAAAATTTACAGAAAAATAAACAGTTTTATGTAGAACACGGAATATGAAGTCAGAGCAATGCAAAATTCCTTCTCATTCCAAAGTAAACAATACTTGTAATACATATATATATATATAGATCATTGTTGATGATATGTTGTCTGTGTTAACAAAAAAGCTTTAAACACATTTACATTGATTTGTTAAATTTTTGTGATTTTTATGGGGTAATTTTTTTTACGTTACTGATACTGTTTGAATAGTAAGGTTTTACTGGGTTTTTCTTAACAGAGGGAAATATTTACATTTCTGTTAATATCCACACAATGATTTAAAGTTATTTAACTGTCACAAAGATCCTAAGTCAAAACATTGAACAAAACATGAAAGTTTAGAGTAAAATACATTTAGCCACCATGAATATCAGTTTATTGTTCAGAGAATTCTGAAAATAAAAAACATTCTCTGTTATAGAGAAGATATATGATATGTCAATGCTACCTTTGTAAATGTTATTAAATCTACAGACTAGAAATGTGTTGAAACAGTATTTTCTTGGTCATGTTATCAATCTTTATGTTTTTTAAATATTTTTCGGTTATCATTTTTGATTTCATTTGTTTTAAATATAAAAAATCAATACAACAAAGTGCAGAGAAATACATCAGTTTGCATTGTTAGTTTGGAAACATTACTTTTAATGATAAGCAATCATAAAACAGAATGGTACTTTAAGTTTGGTTAAAGATATAATATAAATACCGGTAATTAAAGGTAACAGGCTATATATCTAAGTCAGTAAGATACAAAGAAAAACATGATATAGTTGTATTTCTTGTTTCATATAATAATGACAGAAACTTGGTAGACATATGCTGTGAGACCATATAGAGATAGTGGCTATGAAGTTTTGAGGTCTGGATAGAACCAGTCTGGTTAATGTGAGTTACATAATTAATAATATTATCTTAAAAATCATATTATACACAAAATGAAAGAAACTACTTAAAATTGTAGATTAAGCTTGGTGCAATTGAGATCAAGTGCATTCAACAAATACTTTGTCCATATCAAATATTCTTTTGATATTGCAACTTAAGGATTTCACCCTTTCTGTTGTAATATAATGTAAAAACAATGCTTTGTTGTAAAATTCAGTGCTTGGAATATTTTTGGTTTATAACAAATGCGATCTTATTTTACTCTGTAGTACAATTTTTATTTGTTTGTGGGATCCTCAATATTCACTGGCAAGTTTTGGGGCCATGATATATACAGCATTACTGTTTTACTTGTTAAATAAGACATCAGTATTTTGACTATGTAATAATTATGCATTATTATGGTAATATGAACTGTTTGACAATCCTAGGCTTATGTCCGAATTTACAAGGCTTTTAGCTTTGCTTACAGGACTTTCATTTTGAGTACCATGACTTCGTCTTTGTTTATCACGACTTGACCTTTGTTTACCAGGATTTGATCTTTGTTTACCAGGACTTGATCTTTGTTTATCACGACTTGATCTTTGTTTATCACGACTTGATCTTTGTTTATCATGACTTGATCTTTGTTTATCACGTCTTGATCTTTGTTTATCACGACTTGATCTTTGTTTATCATGACTTGATCTTTGTTTACCAAAACTTGATCTTTGTTTATCATGACTTGATCTTTGTTTACCAAGACCTGATCTTTGTTTACCAAGACTTGATCTTTGTTTATCATGACTTGATCTTTGTTTACCAAGACCTGATCTTTGTTTACCAAGACTTGATCTTTGTTTATCCTGACTTGATCTTTGTTTACCAAGACTTGATCTTTGTTTATCACGACTTGATCTTTGTTTACCAAGACTTGATCTTTGTTTTCCAAGACTTGATCTTTGATTACCAGTACTTGATCTTTGTTTACCAGGACTTGATCTTTGTTTATCATGACTTGATCTTTGTTTACTAAGACTTGATCTTTGTTTATCACGACTTGATCTTTCTTACCAGGACTTGAACTTTGTTTACCAGGACTTGATCTTTCTTACCAGGACTTGAACTTTGTTTACCAGGACTTGATCTTTGTTTATCACGACTTGATCTTTGTTTATCACGACTTGATCTTTGATTACCAGTACTTGATCTTTGTTTACCAGGACTTGATCTTTGTTTATCACGACTTGATCTTTGTTTATCACGACTTGATCTTTGTTTACCAAGACTTGATCTTTGTTTATCAATACTTGATCTTTGTTTACCAGGACTTGATCTTTGTTTATCACGACTTGGTCTTTGTTTACCAAGACTTGATCTTTGTTTACCAAGACTTGATCTTTGATTACCAGGACTTGATCTTTGTTTACCAGGACTTGATCTTTGTTTACCAGGACTTGATCTTTCTTACCAGGACTTGATCTTTGTTTATCACGACTTGATCTTTGTTTACTAAGACTTGATCTTTGTTTATCACGACTTGATCTTTCTTACCAGGACTTGAACTTTGTTTACCAGGACTTGAACTTTGTTTACCAGGACTTGATCTTTGTTTATCACGACTTGATCTTTGTTTACCAAAACTTGATCTTTGTTTATCATGACTTGATCTTTGTTTATCAGGACTTGATCTTTGTTTATCACGACTTGATCTTTGTTTACCAAGACTTGATCTTTGTTTGTCACGACTTGATCTTTGTTTACCAGGACTTGATCTTTGTTTACCAGGACTTGATCTTTGTATATCATGACTTGATCTTTGTTTATCACGACTTGATCTTTGTTTATCAAGACTTGATCTTTGTTTACCAAGACTTGATCTTTGTTTATCAATACTTGATCTTTGTTTACCAGGACTTGATCTTTGTTTATCACGACTTGATCTTTGTTTACCAGGACTTGATCTTTGTTTATCACGACTTGATCTTTGTTTACCAAAACTTGATCTTTGTTTTCCAAGACTTGATCTTTGATTACCAGTACTTGATCTTTGTTTACCAGGACTTGATCTTTGTTTATCACGACTTGATCTTTGTTTACCAAGACTTGATTTTTGTTTACCATGACTTGATCTTTCTTACCAGGACTTGATCTTTGTTTATCACGACTTGATCTTTGTTTACTAAGACTTGATCTTTGTTTATCACGACTTGATCTTTCTTACCAGGACTTGAACTTTGTTTACCAGGACTTGATCTTTCTTACCAGGACTTGAACTTTGTTTACCAGGACTTGATCTTTGTTTATCACGACTTGATCTTTGTTTATCACGACTTGATCTTTGATTACCAGTACTTGATCTTTGTTTACCAGGACTTGATCTTTGTTTATCACGACTTGATCTTTGTTTATCACGACTTGATCTTTGTTTACCAAGACTTGATCTTTGTTTATCACGACTTGGTCTTTGTTTACCAAGACTTGATCTTTGTTTACCAAGACTTGATCTTTGATTACCAGGACTTGATCTTTGTTTACCAGGACTTGATCTTTGTTTACCAGGACTTGATCTTTCTTACCAGGACTTGATCTTTGTTTATCACGACTTGATCTTTGTTTACTAAGACTTGATCTTTGTTTATCACGACTTGATCTTTCTTACCAGGACTTGAACTTTGTTTACCAGGACTTGATCTTTGTTTATCACGACTTGATCTTTGTTTACCAAAACTTGATCTTTGTTTATCATGACTTGATCTTTGTTTATCAGGACTTGATCTTTGTTTATCACGACTTGATCTTTGTTTACCAAGACTTGATCTTTGTTTGTCACGACTTGATCTTTGTTTACCAGGACTTGATCTTTGTTTACCAGGACTTGATCTTTGTATATCATGACTTGATCTTTGTTTATCACGACTTGATCTTTGTTTATCACGACTTGATCTTTGTTTACCAAGACTTGATCTTTGTTTATCAATACTTGATCTTTGTTTATCACGACTTGATCTTTGTTTACCAGGACTTGATCTTTGTTTATCACGACTTGATCTTTGTTTACCAAAACTTGATCTTTGTTTATCATGACTTGATCTTTGTTTATCAGGACTTGATCTTTGTTTATCACGACTTGATCTTTGTTTACCAAGACTTGATCTTTGTTTGTCACGACTTGATCTTTCTTACCAGGACTTGATCTTTGTATATCATGACTTGATCTTTGTTTATCACGACTTGATCTTTGTTTACCAAGACTTGATCTTTGTTTGTCACGACTTGATCTTTCTTACCAGGACTTGATCTTTGTTTACCAGGACTTGATCTTTGTATATCATGACTTGATCTTTGTTTATCACGACTTGATCTTTGTTTACCAGGACAAGTTCTCCATCAATGACACAGTGTACTGATAGTGAAATTTTTCTAATCATTAAACACTAACATATTTTAGTAGTTAATTTGTTCCTTATATCTCAGTGAAGACAATACATACTCTAAGTTGTAATTGAATATGATTATAACAAACCGTGTTTTTTTTACTTTGTGTTAAATTTACTGTTGTTTTGTTCTTCATGTCAGTTTAGATAAGAATCTCGGTTGTACACCATGCTATTGCTAAGCTTTCAAGAAAATTACTTTGTTTTGTTTTTAGTCAGCCTAAGTATACTGTTAGGATGTAGAGAGTTGTGTGTTTTGTTTTTAGTCAGCCTAAGTATACTGTTAGGATGTAGAAAGTGACATTTGCTATTTTTTTCACTTTTAATTACTTTCACATATATGTTCTTTGTCTTCCCACATGTTTCTATTGCTTTGTCACTTGACTCTGCATGGACTAATTCCAAACCAATAGAATGAAATATCTTCTCCAGCAATACATTTTACAATCAAAATGGATAATTTTACCCTCAATTATTGTATTGACATATACTGACTTGGCATGGGAAACAATCTTGGTAAACTGACGTGCCTAAATTGTACACAGAAGACCAAATGTAGACAAATGTATGTGAAGTTAGAAAAGTCTGCCAAATATGACAAAATTTACATTTTTGTTTAATTACGAATGATGTCAACCAGGAGGAATCTCAGTCCTACACACTATACCTGACTCAGTGCTACACACTACACATGACTCAGTCCTAACACACTATACCTGACTCAGTGCTACACACTATACCTGACTCAGTGCTACACACTACACATGACTCAGTCCTAACACACTACACAGACTCATTCCTAACACAATATACGTGACTCAGTCCTACACACTTTACGTGACTCAGTCCTAACGCACTATACATGACTCAGTCCTATACACTGTACGTGTCTCAGTCCTAACACACTATACGTGACTCGGTCCTAACACACTATACGTGACTCAGTGCTACACACTATACGTGACTCAGTGCTACACACGCTACACACTATACGTTACTCAGTGCTACACACTATATGTGACTCAGTGTTACACATTATACATGACTCAGTGCTCCACACTATACGTGACTCAGTGCTACACACTATACCTTACTCAGTGCTACACACTATACCTGACTCATGCAAATTCCTTGTAAAGAAACATATTGTTAATTTTATGTATATTTTGTGTGTTTTATTCAGAAGTTAAATATTTTATGAACTAAACAGAATTGCTTGCTTTATTGTATTGACCAGAACTAATGGATATCAGAAATCAAAATACATTTATATTTTCAATTTGCTTTGAGGACGAGCTAACCTTATTTGGTGTTCATCACTTAAGGATGATACATGTGTATATTTGCTAGAATCATGTTCAAATTTATTTCTTCCTGTTCATATTTTTACAGAGTTGAATCAAAATTGAGTAAGTAGATAGTACAAAAGAGACACAAATTAATACAATATAGCACCCTTTAAGAATTAGATACCGTAGAGCTAAAAAATGAATTAAAATTATCATACAGCTGTTTCATCCTTCAAGGGCGCGCCATTGATGGTAAGAACCTAATTTAACTATGTGACACATTGATTTTGGGAATGAGTGACCTGGGTTTTTTTTTAACTGTTTGTTGTATAATTTGTTCTCGAATACTAGTATAAATCGTTTAATGACCAAAAATACCTTGATATTTCTGTCTTTATTTTCTACTAAGATGGCGTTAAAATCTGGACAAATGGACTTGGAAAGGGATGATGTTGGACATAGAAAGGGATAATGCTGGACATGGAAAGGGGTGATATTTGACTTTGAAAGGGTTAATATTGGACATGGAAAGGTATGATGTTAGACATGCAAAGGGATGATATTGGATATGGAAAGGGGTGATGTTGGACATGGAAATGGATGATGTTGGACATGGAAAGGGGTGATATTGGACATGGAAAGGGTTGATGTTGGACTTTGAAAGGGATGATATTGGACATGGAAAGGGGTGATGTTGGACATGGAAAGGGGTGATGTTGGACATGGAAAGGGATGATGTTGGACATGGAAAGGGGTGATGTTGGACATGGAAATGGATGATGTTCGACATGGAAATGGATGATGTTGGACATGGAAAGGGATGATGTTGGACATGGAAAGGATGATGTTGGACATGGAAAGGGATGATGTTAGACATGGAAAG